GGAACTTTGAGATGTCTTGTATTTTAGGGGATATATGCTGTGGAGCTCCTAAAAGGCAGGGGAACTTGGCATTTGGGCTCAATGAATAGGAGAAAAACAGGGAATCATTGAAACTGAAAATGTCTTTTCATGATAACTTATGAATCTGTGCGCAGTCTTCCATGACATGATATGTATTTGAGTTCTTAAAAACTTTCCACAGACTTTACATGTCATCTGGTTTGAATAAAAATCATATGATTCAAATCATTAGACCATCAATAGCCGCAAAGAAATGTGTGTGTCACTTTTCTAGGAAAGTCAGTTTCAAAGGTGCCTCTCCATTCATAGGGTTTCCAAACCTCTGTTTGCTCGAGCTCTTTTTCCCAAGTTTCTCAAGCTCCCTCTCTCCTACAAGGAGAAATCGTAGATGACACTCCATGACTTCAGGTAATTAGGAGCGGGAGTAAAATAAGAAGACAGAGAAAACTTCTTTTTAAACTTTACTAGTTGCAAGAATATACTAAGATAAGGAGAAAATCCCTCTTACGTGAATTTTAGACTAATGCATCACCAAGCATTTCACTGGAGTTGTTCAGGAGATTTTCTCCAGCGTGAGAGAAGAAGCATATCTCCATGTTGAGACAGTGAAAATGCAATATGCACATCATAGGTTTAAGAAAAACAAACTGAGCAATCTCCGAAATAATTTCATACAATCAAAACCAGTATCATAAATATATTTGAGTATGGGGACAGAACTGCGCATGCGATTTTAACTTGATCAGCAGATTTCCACCCCTGTCCCCAAATGCTAATACTAGTTTTACAAATATTGGGCCTAATTTTGCTATACCTGCCTAAAGAAGGCAGATGGTAGTCTAAGTGCTTTCCAATGATTCAACTTCACTGCCTAGACATGGAAATCAGTATTTAGAATGAGTAAGCTTTGGTGTATTTGATATTTTTAGTATGATTTTTGAGTCCTGATTATATTGTACATAAAATATATAGTTGAATATGTTTAGTTTTACTTACTGAATGATAATTTCTATGAAAATATGCAATAATCCCTTTCTTAGTACATCACTGAATACAGATTGACTTTCCACCGTACCTTCGCTTGCATGTCGGTCCCTAAAAACGTTCTTGGGATGGATGTTAAAACCTTCTATATCATGTACTGAAGATGCTCTCCGTATACTACAAATGCTTTCCTTTGATCTGGAATGGGTTAGTGGATTGCTTGTCTGTATCATGTCGGGATAAAGTCTGTCCCATTGCTGTTTAGGTGATGAATGATCCAGAGGTCCTGATATATTAACCAAAGGAGAACATTTACTGGGTTGAATCAGTGCTTTTGTGTCATCCGCTTCTGAAGGGCTAACACTTTCTTTTGTAGGTGATTTAAAGTGCTTCATGGCCACTGAGTCATCGCTGTGCTTAGATGAATCCACTATCACTGCATCAGGATCTTCCTGTGGTAAGGATTGTTTTCTGTATGTTAAGAGCCTCAGTCCAGGTAACCTGAACCCAAAAAGTTTGCCTAAAAAAAAAAAGTACATTAGTTTATTATTAGTCTATATATTAATTCCTTTAGTTTGCTTTTTTCACATGCAAACTGCATAACAACAGCTATAAATAAGTGATTTGACCTATGCCTAATAAAATACACTGTTTGGGGATGGAATGCGCATCTGTGGAACTGTTTTATACTTGTAAGTTTGTTGTAGTCATGTTGTTAGAAGATTTCCTGCTTCAGTCAAACATGAGTTATTGAGCTCAGAACAGGACTTACAGCATGGATTCTATAACCTGTGTTTTAAAAGAGATAAGATTGTATAATCCAGTGGTCCTTTCTGGTTTTAAAATTATGCATCTATAAAAGAGTGATAAAACATGTAGAACTACTTTGCTTGGTAACTATACGCCTAAGTAGGTATTTGTAGATTTTTATCATCAGTGGAACTCCCATGTGCTTAAAGACCTACTGCTGCTGCTTCAGTGGAATTGATTTATTAGTTACAAATTAAACTGAAAGGTATGAGTCTTAATCATTCAGGAAATAAAACTGAAGTTGTGCATCCACTTTTGCTGTGATATCTTCCAACGTTTGTTTTAAGTTGTTGCATGTGTGCATGTGTTTTTAAAAAAAAAAAAAAAAAAAGGGCAGGGAGGGGAGCAGAAACGCAGTTCTCCAGCTTCAGTTGGACACATACAATGTGATTATTTTTCATGCATTTGCATGGGTGTGGGCTTCATTGGGCTTAGCATATTAAATGGCAGTAGATTATTCAGAGTGTTTTGGAAAATGAGCAACTCTAAGCTACTCATATTTATCATATGCAGAGGAAAAGTGTAAAATATGGTACAAGCAGAGAAAATACAGCGGAAGAACTGTAAAACCTACAGGCCTTTTCCCCAAAAAAAGCAAACCCAGGCAGCAAAAATTTTAAGTATATTGTATAGTACAACTCACAGATGGAGGCACAGGTGCTTCCAATGCACAGAAAACACAGCAAATAGCTTAGAGAAAGAAATGCTACCCCCTACCAAATAAAGTAATTGAAATAATAGGAAAGATCAGATATCATAGCAGAAAGAGTTTGTCCAATCTAATGCTTCCTTGTCACTTACCACTTTGCTACATGACCATTTTTCACAGTAAATCAATAGCAACAATGGTTTCTAAGGGGACATCAAGAAGTATCTTCTTGTTCTCTCTTACTGGGGTAAGAAATTACGTTTGGGATAAGTTTTATTTTATTCTGTCAGTTTTAATTACCAGTGTTTGTAGCTAGCTAATGTTCGTTAATATATAGCACTGAGATGTAATTGTCTCATGCTTTGATCATGGGCCAGTACACTGAAATGTTTTAAAAGAGTCTTTCATTGATGTCTGTGCAAAGTAGTTGATGCAGAGCAATTGATGGCACAATTAATTTTGTTTTTAAAATAAATGTGCTTTATGGTCAGTATTGAATTTATTTTGTATTCTAAATGAATGAGAGTGCTGTAGTCCTCCTGAAGGAAAATCTATTTAAAAACTAAGGTTGCTATGCTAGATCCCACCATAAATCCATCTAGCACATTGCTGGACCTCTGATATTTTCCAGTGGTGGATAAATGGAGAAAGAGCTGAAGAACCACTGTAGAGTGTGATAGTTCTCCCAAAATCACTCCTTCAGTTTCTGGCAATCTGCAGTTTCTGAGCCAGAGATTGCATTCAAACCTTAAGCTCGATAACTTCCATGAATTTGCTACAGTGCTTTTGAAACCCAGTTATACTTTGATCTGTAAAGCACCCTATAGCAAACAGTTCCATGACTAATGTGTACCTTTGTGGAAAAAGTACTTCCCTGTTTGCTATAAACCTGTTGCCTGATAATTTCATGGGGTAAATTCTAGTTCTTATGGTGTGAGAAACAGTGAATAATTGCTCCCTTTTTATTCTTAATAATTGTTGTAGTTTTCCATACTTCCGTAATATCCATCTTTGTTCATCTCTTTTTCCAAGCTGAAGAATGCTAGTGTAACTATATATCATATATATTGCACAGTATTGCATAGTTTTGATCACCCTTCTCGTTTTTCTCAGTTCCTTTTCATTTCTAATATAACCATTTTTGACAATGGCCTGAACTAATCCCAGGCTCAGGGATTTGTGCAGTGACATAATGGCTTTTTTGTTTTGATCTCAGACCCTTTCCTTATAATTGCTAATATCAGGTTTGCCTTTTTGAGGTATCTTGCTAGCATATGCTAATTCAAGAAATTGCATAACAGCTGAGAGATCTTTCCTGATTGATAACAGATAGTTCAGAGACTATCATTACGTCTGTAAGAAACGTCACTTGCTATTTTATCGCCCAGCCGCTCCATGTTGTAGGATATTTCTATAAATCTCATGTTACATTCTAAATAGTTCTGTGTCATCAGCAAACTTTCCCAACTAACTATTTGCAACTTTTTTCTCCAAATAATTAAAACAAAGACTCTGTAAGACTCTGCTGATAATATCTCAATATTGAGAAATCTGGTCCTACCTGCTTTTTCCTCACTTTAAAACGTGAATTCATGTAATAATCTTCCTTCTTATTCCTTGACAATTTCAGTGAGGGATCTTGTGAAAAGCTTGATAAATACCATATAGCACTGAATCTATTAGTCTAATGCATATTAGTCTAACGCGTATTAGTACTGTACCACAACAGTACAGTAGACACAGAACTCTCTACTATATAAAACCAGAGCCACACCTGCTAGAGGTAGCAACTAGAGGTGCCAATTTTCAGTATGCTCAGTGATATTCAATAGACTGTACCTTGGGAGCAGTCTATTCATAGACTTCATATTTCTTTTAGCTTATTATGTATATACTTGGACAAATTGCTCACAGTTGAAATTAGTGAAGTACACAAAAATCACTTCATTATTTTTAAATGTATAAGAAATCGAGTTATAAAGCAGTTTATAAATCAATTTTACAAGCTTATTGCATCAAAGGTCAAACAATTACTGTAATTCTTTTTTCATCAATTACATTGCACTCCTTTAAAACACCATTCATAAGGCTTTCTGGCATTAGACACTGTTAAGGCTTTTTTGCTGGCACTCTATTTTAGTTATATTCATGGTGGTGCAGATGGTCTTTTCTGCTTCACTAAGTTAATATGACCGTGTTATACTGCATTACTGATTTAGCTGTCTAACTGCAGTTCAGCTGGAAAGGATACACAGTAAGAATTTTGCTTCGTGCTAAAATATAAGTTTTCTATTTCATGCTTGAAATTCTATCTTTTTTTACTTTTAGAAAGAAATGCTCTCAAAGTTAAAATTCCTATTTCCTGCTTTTTAACTTGAATATTCCTTTTAAGGGGGAATATTGTGATTCTTCCATACTGTATAGATAAAGAGCCATATAATGTGTTGGACGTTTAAATCTTCTGTGGTACTGCAGCTAAAGCTACCAGGAGGCCCATTCAGAATTTATCTAATTTACATCATACTTTCTTGCTTAGCTCAGTAATACAATTTGATGTGAAGTAAAATTCATGGCACTGGGCTGGATGTCCCAATATAGACTAGAAAGGTCAGAGGAAGCTTTCCTGGGCTAAAATGCATTTGAAAGTGAACAGCCCCTGCTTTAGGTAGGTATGATGTCAAACCAGGTTTATCTTAGCTTGCAATACTAAAAGTTTTTTGAGATGTAACTAGCTTTTATTTAATTTTCTGTGAATATACAGATAATATATTTAAATCCTTATATTTTATTGAACTTAAAGACTAGATTACTAGGTTCTTCTTAATTATACACATCTCTGACTCAGCATTGTGGCATGCGAAGAGCAATTCAGGGAAGTGGTACAATTTCTGAGTCACAATTGCGGGCTTACATTCCACCTTCTCCTTTCAAACGTGCTTCACTGAATAACTGATTTGCAAATGACTTAATCTGCTAGTTGTTGCATTTATTCTCTGTGTCATCTCAGCTAACCATTAGAGTTTCTAAATTGTAGAACTCAGCCCAAAAATACTTACACTGCAGATAACAAAAGACTCATCTAAACGGGTGACAAATGTAGTTATCTCCTAGGTCTCAAATTCAAATAAACTTTTTTTGCTCCCTGAAAGTCCTTTCTGCTATCCTATCTCATATTTTGGGAGATCTTATGAGATGTTCAGAATTCATGGAACCTAAAATATTTAACTTCCTTTGGCATTTTCAAAATAGAATTTTTATAGTCATAGGCTGTCGTGACTTGACTTTTTTTTGCCAGGAAGCTGAAGTTTTTAGGGAGGCAGAGATCTCCTTGGCCCTAGATAGAAAACAAAATATCTATAGCCTCAGGCCTGAAGAATGGCACTGAATAGAAATGTACAAAAAATGTCTAGAAAATATCTGTTTTCATGTTGCTAAAGAGATGAGATGAGCTTGATATATTAAATTATAAAGTTTGCCTATTCTTTTACGCCTAGGGCTAGCTGGAATATCAGCTTTCTGCCCTGAAGTTTTTTTGAGTTTTTTTTTTTTTAATTGTTCTCAAGATTAGGGCAAAAGGAACTCTTCAAAACTACTTTGTTTTTAAAATTGTCATTATTTTACTTTAAAGAATTAGAAGTGAAGTAAAGGTTTCAAATTGTTAAAAACAAAAATATTTTGGTTAATAGTTTTTTTCTATACTATACTCACAACACTGTCTTGTTCTGAAAAATTAATAGCCTTACTTTTCCGTAAAAGTACGAAAATGGGAAACATTAACAGTTATAGAAAATTTCAATTTTTAAAAGCAAAACACCATCATATAGAAGGTTGTCAAAAAAAAAAATTGGTTCCAAAAAGTAAATTAACTGCCCCATAAATACAAATTTCATTTTGAAAATGGAGCATTACAGCAAAAAAGTATCTGAATAAGACCTTCCTTAGTAACCCAATTTACTTGAGGGGCAAGTAATTTCCAATCTTTTTTTTTTTAAGGAAGCATTCTGTTACAATGAAGGGAAACGATACTTGGCTTGAATATTGTCTTGTCACAGTGAAGTTACTCCGCAGACTTCTAGTGGTGAAGTGGTACTTACCAGACACAGTAGCAAAGTCAGAAATGCCTAAAACTGAAAGATCTTAACTTTCACTGCAGTGGCTGAATGCACTAGGGTGAGTGCTATGCTTTATCCCACGGTCTGTTTAATTCCTGTTGATACACATCGGAGTCCCAGTTTCAGTTCTCAGATTCCCCTAAGCACTGCAGAAGAGCAACTCAGAGGTTGGGATGGTCCTGAAAGAGCTGTTCAGCCAGTTTTTGTGGTAACTCTATTAGTACTGTTACTGTCCTTCTGTTGCAGACAAATAGAAAAGCTGATTTCAAATAAGTCAGAAGGAAAAGAAATAGTAGCTGGTCTCAGGCTAGCTGGATTCATTAGATTTGGTTTATTGGACTCTCAAGCTTCTCTAGACTTAGCCATCCCAAAATCAAATCAAAGGAACTCAAATATACCAAAAGTTTGCACAGGATAAACTAAGAAAAGTGTGGGAACTGTCAAAACTTGTTCCTGGTGTGACGCATAACTTGTCCTAGACTGAAGAGTTAAACCAAACTCTTAGATGCCTGTGTCCAGGCACAGCCTAGTAACTGTGGTACAATGTTGAAGAAAATCAAATCTTGTTAAGTTATATGATAAATTTATCATAGTGGATGACTGATCTGGCACTAATATGCAACAAATGTTAGTTTTTCAGTAAGGAAGACTAAGGAATACAGCTGATATATCCTCAAAGTCAGGTCTATTCTAAACAGAGAGATGGGATTTATTTGATAAAGAGTGTTTTAGATAATGCCTGATTACAGCTGGATTTGTTCACTAAAACTATTTTCAAGATTCCTGGTGCTTGCAAAAATGGGAAGAATATTTAGACATTTTGAGACTTCAAAAGAAACAAACATGAAAATAATGGATGTGTAGGTAAGCTGATTATGACTATCCTCGAGGCTGTGGATTGACTGAACAACACTTTTGTTCTGAAACTTCCCCAAATGATGAACAAGATTACTTTTGCAAGAGGAGCACAAGTTAGCTCTTTAAAAATTTTCTGATATCTGTCTGATGTCAAGGAATTTTCATGATCTAGGTTATCAAAAATGCAGATTTAGCCAATTGCTGGATTTCTGGCCAAAGTCTTAGAATATCTAACAGCTCATGCAACAGACCAAAGGAAACAATTGCTGTTAAGAAACGCATTCCCTAAATATTGACAGTCTAAAATAGCAGCAGGTAGTTGAATGCACTCCACACAAATGCTGCGGCATGTGATGCTGCTTTATTTTCTGTCTGGGCTCAGCAGGCCATAGAATAGAGAATTACAGTAAGAACCGATTATATGTGTGTATATGTTTTCTTTTTTCTTTTTTTCTTCTAGGTCTTTTCCCCCAAATATTGAGAAGCATACATAAGTGGATCATTTTATTTCTCTGCTCATTAAATAATCTTCATGCTCTGTGTTTATTTCTTCTCAGGCAGGAAAAGAAAGGCATCTCAAATTATTTAATTTGAAGCTTAAATTTATAATTCTCAGATACTGCATATGCACTTTCTTATTGTCTGATGTGGTCTACTTTAATTCTAGCACCCTGGTTATTTTTCTTTTAGTTTTCTCTAAAGTTGAATTTGTATTTTTTTTTGTAGGTAGTTGTTGTTATCAATAACGGCAGTCTGTTTATGTTCCCTTACAAGTGAGAAAGTTGTTCCATCTCTATGATGGTGATAGCACGTTTATGTTTTTAGGCTGCACTCCTACTAAAATGTAGTATTGAGAATGGCTAAGAGAATAATATGATTCCAGATCATCCTATCTACACATATGCCTCTGAGGCAGCCTGTGAAAACAGGACTGGTAAGCCGGTGAAAGAGAGGGATGAAGTCTCTGTCTCTCTGTAGAGCTATGCTGTCTTTGGTTGATCAGTGAATCTAGTCTGAACAGTGTTCTTGGGGTCCTCCTCGAAAAATGGTGTGATGATATCCTTTGATATTAATGTAAACTTGTACATTTAGCTGTCTCGTTTTCTTTCTATTTTTTGCTACAGATGTTATTATATTAGATTTTATTCATTATATTAAAATTATAGGCATTACAGCTTTTTTTTGTGGAAAAAACATGGAAAAGAAGAATTTTTGGTCCTCTCAAAGAGATTTTACTGTTTGCATTTTTCTTCTTTTGACATAATCAAAAGTATGGAAAAGAAGAAAAAAGGGAATATCTGCAATGAAACAAAATAGCAAGCATCACAGTATGTATTATATTGAAAGAGTTATTCAGTTGGCACAATATTTTGCTGTCTTGCTGAAAATATGGTGTTTGTCCTGGTAGCTGTAGGAAAGAATTCGTTCCATCTATTAAATCAAATTCCCAAACTCCCAGCTCTTACCACCCTGGTCGCCAGACTTCATAGAATAGATAATATTGTTTTGGCCTGAGATAGGAAACCTGAAGAAGTTCTTTATGTTACAGCAGCTAATTTATATTTCAATACCAAATTCCACAATGTGTTTTGTCTCATATATTGATAGAATTTTTTTTATGCTTTGTACACAAGAACTTTTAACAATAATAAGCTCAAAAGTATCACTACATTTGGATTTTATATCTTGCATAATTATACTAAATGTAATAGTTTAGCTGTTATATCTGTAGTTTTGAAGAAATGAATATTCAGAATGGGAGAAAGAGCCATATTTTGATTTGCGCTCTTCTAGAATTATATAAAATGTAATGGGATCTGGAAATAATAGAAACAGAATAAAGCATAGAGAGACTTCAGTAGATAGAACTTTAGAAGATAGATTTACCTGAAGAAGAGCCACTTGAAAGGTTGTTACCATCTGAAATACAATTAAACTAGATTTACAAAAAGCTTTAGCTTGAAAAGAAACAGATTCAGAAAATAAACAGACTATTAAGAGAAGGTAGAATATCAAATCTCAACACATTTTAAAAGCAAATTTAAATAGTTTTAATTTACATTCAGTATGTGATCTGCAGTCGAATTATTCTAAAAGTACATTGCCTTTTTATTTGGAAAATTTAACTATTCCATTAAGTACTTTGAACACTACTCAGTTTGTTGCATAGATCAAGACATATTTCCAATTATCAAGTTTTCAAGTTGACTAATATTTCAGACAGAAAACTGAAGTAAATGTAATCAGACTAACGCATTATTTCTCATGAAATGGAAGCTCTTCTAATTTCTTAGTGAGCATTTCTTTTCTAGGAAACGCAAATTTTGTTTGGAAGAAACTTTTGATATTGAAATATCAAATAATTCATAATCTCTTCAGGGATACTGGGCTTTATCCACTGACATTTGTTTAGAGTATGTCCTCGGAGAAGTTTCATATGCCTGTTATGGCTCCCTTTCATCTGTTCATGGGAAGAACTCCTGTGACTACATGTCTGTGCTAAACGCCTTCAGGTCCATTAAATGTCCCACTTGCCTGCTTACTACACTCCTTAACATAGGTAATAATCACAGGATTTCACACCTGAGAAATAAAACACAATGAGGGTAACGACTGTTATCTTATCAATACATTTATTTTTGTTTGCTTACCATCAAATGTCTCTTCCATATTGAATCACATAAAATAAATAATAAAACATATTCCTTATGACCAAGGTCCATTTGAAAGCCTCTAAAACCCATTTGACAAAGACAAAGAAAATTCTTTTTTTACTATCTAGTAGAGTCCTCTTAGTCTAAGCTTGAGATACCCTGGTAGTTTTAATTACTCCCTTCTTTTTAAAAAACCTCTAATTCAACTTAACAGTTACACAGATGTGTTAAGTTCACTGCACGATTTGTATTATGAATAATAGAGGCATAAGTCTTAAATGAGGCATTTCATCAGAGTGCGATGCAAAACTGGCTGCCTTAACACTTTCCTGAGGGTGTGCGTTAAAATTTGGGATGACTGCAAAATCACACTCTTGGCCTTCAAATTACCTCACAGAACCCACCTGTTTTTAAATAATAAATGCATAGAAGAGGTGTTAAAAATGTAGGACTAGAAGAGACTTCTTAGATGTAGCTCAGTCCAAGAACTCTTTTTATCCTCGTTTATTATTTATAAATAACAAAAGGAAAATTTGCAGGATCTCTGCATAGCCAGTGCATTGTCAACTTTGTTTTCCTTTTCCTGTCAGCCAGTCTGCATGTGTTCCCCCACTGAAAGCTACATCTACCTGTGTCATTGTCTCTGGCTTGTAATCTCTTTAAGCAGAGATTGTCTTTTTTTAATTGAATGTTTGTACAAGATCTAGCACAATAGGTCCCTGATCCTAGCTGGGGAGAGGCTATAAGGCAAACAGCTAATTAGTGGTTTGAATCCAGCAAGGCTTCTACTCTGTCTGAGCCCCACCAGTAACCACCTTGAGAAAAAAGTAATTTTTCCATCCTGCTTGTATTTCTCCATCTATAAAAGAAAAGTAAAAGAATGTATTTATCTTAATGAATGTTCTGTTAATTAGGCAGTTAAGTATTTGTGAAGCGTGCTGAAGGTGAAAGCACCAAAGATCCTTTTCTCTTTTACGGTTGATTGCTGTTTGGCTCTGTTCCTTTGCTAAGAGTTCAACACTGTCTCCTTCACTCTGATTTCCCTTGGAGACAAATACACATATTGACACTGGAGTTGTCATGACTGTGCTATTGCTTGCCTAGATAGAAACCTTTGTCCTGGCCACAGTTTTTCTTGAGTAGCCCTCGCTTATGATGAATTTGCTCCCAGTGGTGAAGCTAAAAATAAAACTTTGGACAAATTTCTCGTTACATTTTGGGCAAAGTCAGAGGGTTACTATTGTTTATGTATGCCATGTTCTATATAGTAAGCTTATCTTGTACACTGTTTGATGCATACTTCATGACAACTTTGTTGTCCAGCTACTTTTAGGAAAAACACTTGTAGTCAATGCTTACCTATCACTGAACTGCTATGCTTACTTATATAGCGAAGTACTCTACACAGAGGAAAACAAACACAGTTATTGAGTTAATTCCTTGACTTAAATAAAAGGCCTGATTTGAACTTCCATTATGCTTGCTGTAACTCTGTTGAATTCAGTGAGTTCTGGTGCTGAGATGTAACTCCATTGCTAGGACCAGGATCAAACAAAATTTTGTGAAGTTTAAGCTGCTTTAAGGCTCTTCCTGACAGAAAGCTATAACTGATTATGGTTGTAGCTATTTTTAGAATGCTATAAGCTTTTTCATTTTGTGTGAATATTACCTAAGAAATAAGCGTTTATAGGATGTATAACAGATCCTCTCATTTTTAGTTGAAATGACATTTTAAATTACAAGATTCTACATGTGAGGCTAGGGAGAAATATTTTTACATTCATGAATTAAACAAAAGTTTACAATTTAAAAAATGTGTATGAAATGATACCACCTGCAAGCAAATCACTTTACATTAGCATCTGCAAAAGTAATACATTTTCTTTACTTTAGAGGATGAAAACCAAGACATTTTCCAGGATATTTTTAATATATTTATAGATTTAAAGTGATAGAATGATATGGCAATCTCCCAATATCCCTCTTTGGCAGAGTGCAATTATGTGCTTAATCAAACAACTTTCTGGACTTTTTCTCATGAGGGAACGAACACTGTGTTTGGGAATCGGTATTAGCTTACAGGCTGCTGCTTGTAGCTGGTCAAATTGTTTTGAAGTTACATGAATAAAAGTTGTGACCCTATCTGACTTCAGCCATCGTAGCCTACGTGTTAATAGGAGTCACCTTTTAGAAGGGTCTGGAGTATGTTAGAAATATGTCACAAAAAGCGACCATAGCTCACCATAACTTCTCCCTTTGTCCCTAAATTGTGACTTCATAGCTTTAAAAAAGAAACATGCTGTAGGCGGGGCAGGAAATGAAGACAACTCAGTATTAAAATTCTGAAAGGTTTTGATTGTCTTTTGCATGTGTGCAAACCCACAACTGCTCTATTTCAAGTAGAATTATAGCTGTATTTTTCATATTGGAGTCAGTATCCTCAGATCTATGACTTTCTGCCAGTGTGAAATGGCTGCAGATTTTTCCTTATGTCCAGTCTGTGTCATGATTAATTTTGAACTTTTGCGATTACTAGACTAAAGACACAAAACATTCCACAGCTGTGAAGAACAGAATCGGACACCAGGAACAGATTTTAATTCATGTCAGTGGCTCCTTTAATTTCTGTAAAAGATTTGGTGGAGTGGATGAATATGCTGAATTGGAATGTTTGGTGGATTTGGGGATAAAGTTGGACATTTACAGTTTCTTTCCTCAACACAGATTTAAAAGCCGTATTTACATACAGAAGTTATACTAGCATAACACTGTATTGCAAAAGAGTTTCATGAAGTCTGTATAGCAAGCTTTACAGGCGTTCTTCCTCATTTGGAGAGTATCTTATTTTGGTTAATAATTGTCACTAGTAGACTTAAATGATAATGTAAACGTGTTCACTCAGCCTCTTTGCTAAGCATTCATGTAGACACTAGAAAAAGCTCTTTTTTCTTTTAAACAGTGGCTCTAAGAGAGAGATCTTTCCGTATAAGCTAGCACCTTACTAAATGTTCTACTGTGTTATTTCAGTTGGAGTTGAAAAGTTTATATAACTTATGAAAACTTGTAAACAACGCTTCTGGGAATCATTTTCATCATCCTAGTGATAATTGAGCAAATATTGTTAACTTTTTATGAGTTATGATGGAGAACAGCCCCTGAGAATTAACTGCTATAGTACAAATAATAATAATTCTTAGGGCTTATGTAGCTCAAAACTTTTGATCTTGACACTTTAATATGCTAAACAAATATCCCAACACTTAACAACAAGGTATTTATATCTTCAGTCATTTCACCGACATAGCAAGTAAGACAGGGTAAGCTTATTAAGTGTGTTTCTCTTTGGATACAGAAGTTATTTTCTGAAATTATATCATTTAAACAATCTAAAGAAAAGCAATACAAAGAGCAAATACGCTTTCTAAAAACAAACTTAAGTAAGAAAGAACATAATATTTTTATATCTTGAAATGAGGCACAATTTAAAAAAAGGTAATTGACTAATGAATGGACATCTATAGCAGAAATCAGTTTCTAAGTATTGCTTTGACTGTGAGACTTTAACACAGTACACAAAATCATCCCCACTAGAGAAGAGAGGGTGATATCCAGTTACGTAATAAATGCCTACATGGGAAATTTCCTCACCTCTCTGAATAAAAGGTTGGATAGATTATAGCTAAGTTTAGATTATAACTAAGTTTGGTGAGACGTTTAAACAAAACTGTGTGATAAACTTTTCTTTCCAAAAGGAAAGAATTATATGAACCACCTTTGTTTTACTAGTGAAATAGCATGTACTGAAAAAAACAAAATTGTGGCAAAATACAAAAGCAATAGAATGGAAAAGAGAAATCAGTTGGCTGTGATTTACTAGTTCTTTACTGATTTGGGGCATGCTAGGTATTTCCAAAATTTAGCTATTTCATTATACAAACACTAGTCAGACTACCATGGAGAACTGATGATAAATTCTTGCAAGGAAAAATAAGGAGAACAAAAGGATCAACTGAAAGGTTTTTTCACTGCTATTGTACAGCCAGTATCTTCACTTCTCACATTACTGCCTATTCAACTTTTTGCCACATATAAGATAGGAGCTCTTGAATACCAGACTAGAAAGAATTCTATTTATACGTAGACGTGGTCATCAAACTCCTGGCAATATATCATATATTTTTCTATAATGTATTATTGTCGTAATGTGCAGGCCCCAATGGTGAATCAGAACCTAGTTGTGTTAGGCATTGTAATGGCACATAGTACAGGATCCCTGTCCCAAAGAGCTTGCAAATGCTGTTTAAAGTATCTGTCAATATTCATGTCACTTGCTTTCCATAGGTTTTTAATCTGGTCAGAGGACCTGCAGCCCCTTAAAAGATTGGAATTACTTTTTTTGTGTTAGAGCCTTTGAAAAGAGAACGCGCTGTGTGTAAATGCGTTTTTCTTGGCATGTGTTAGATTTCAGTCATGAGCAGCGCGGTGGTAAGCTGTTTAAAACCGTTTAAATTTGTTGGCTGCAGCTAGCAGGATAGTTGCTTTCAGGAAAAGGAAAGCTTTTTCAAAATTACACTTGACAAATTTGACGTCAAGTCTTAACTCAATCAGAGGAAGAGTGATAGTATAGGAGAGTTCTCATCTTATTTCCTGGGATCAGGAAAATAACTGTGATCCTTCTGTTTCCCATTCACTTCTTAGCTCATTTCTTCTGTAACCTTACTCAATCATTTTTATTTGCTCTCATGTTGAAAAGACATTCTAACATGAGAAAACTCAATCTAAGGAACTCCAAAAAGAAATCTCTCATGATCTGTGTACCTCTGGGTGCTAGATGTTAATGCAATCTGAAATCGTCTGTCTTTTTTCATTAGCTGATCGTTATCTTGGTTGCTTGTCAGAGATGTATTGCCCTTATTATAGGGCTGGTTCCCTCTCTATTTTTATTATCTAAATTGGTTGTTGGATTTGAAGGGATTGTGTTTTGTTGCTTTTTTTTCTCTGAACCAGTGCCCATTACTGTCCATTTCTTGTGTAATCCATTGAAAACAGATCACCTGTTTTACCTGATGCTGTATGTTCCAAATAGAGAAAGACGGTGAAAAGTCAGCCTTTTCCCAAAGAATCTGCTGTTCGCCTTTCTTATGGTAGGAACATAACTGGATGTTAAAAGAGATATTTTTGCTGGGAAATGATCTACCAGTTGTTCATGACTTCTTTGATTGCCTTATTAGTCCGTCTTTTGTAAATGTCAAACTTTGTTTGTTTGTTTGTTTTAATTCAAATCTACCATTGGCCTGTACACAACATCTTGAAGTTATTTCTGGATGCTTTGCACAGGTTGGCCTCTATCTTGAGAATTCTCTCTGCCAAGAGTATTTTTTTGGCTGTGTAACATATCTTATATCACCATCCTCCCAATCCTGCCCACGTAACAGTCTGCTCAGAGACCACAAGCATCTAGGTAGAAGTAAGAGCAGCCATGTGTCTGCCTCTAATTTATGTCACTTTCTGGTACCTGGCTGAGCCCATTATCAGGAAAATGATTTGTCATCTTTCTTTTCTTCCTTTTGTCTCAGTTATGTACTGAGATTGGAGCCCCATCTATGGGGCTCATCTATTTGAGAACTCTTAGCAGATAAATTCCCCCGTGCATGTTAGGCGTAACTATTGTAAAGGAAGAGAAGGCTATTTTGACTAAGTGCTTATTTGTGGATGTCCTGTTTAGCAGCTTTTCGCTTCAAAATATGGCAAGTGACAACATTTGCAAGTATACACTGATGCAGCAGATAGCAGAACAAAAAGCTCTTTTCAGGATATGAAGCTTTTTGCGGGGAGGGAATTTGCCTTCTGTTTTATCAATAGAACCTTACTAAGCATGGAGCAGCTGAATAATTTTATTTCCTAAATCTAATACAATTTTATAACAAAGTGTTCAAAACACACTAAGTCTGGTCTTTGTGAAACAGAAAAAAAATGAGGGTGGGGTTTACTTGATGTAGTTTTTGTTTTTTTTCTTTTCTCTGATGCAATTTTATCTTTTTTTTTCCCCTGATACTCCTTAACTGGATTTTAACCATAACATTATTACAAAAAGAAGAGTGTTTTCTTGATACCTCAAGAAAAAATGAAAAATAGTGCTCTGTTGGTGATTTTAAAAAACATAATAAAGAAAGGAAGTATAAAAGAAAAATATTTTAAGTATGTATCATAAAGAAATGTACAAAGACTCTAAAAGCTTGTGGTATTTGGTGAAAAATAATTATTGGCAGTCTACTGATTTCCAGTAATGAGGACTTTTCTTTTTACAGTTTTGCATCTATTGCCATTATACAGTTACACAGTTGCAACTGGAAGGACTTTGACCCATCCAGAGTGCTTCACTCAGAGCTCTTTCTCCACAGCTAATGAAAATACTATTTTTAGGCCATCCCAGTTACAGAAGCAAACTGCAGTCTTTTAAAAACGTGAATGATTTGGCAATGTTATGGGAGGACTTTTCATTTTTTAGTTACAGAGCTTTGAGGGGGATCCTTTGTACTTTATCTGGAAGATAAAGAACAGAAAGTCTAGATAATGAAGAATGGCAGAGACTGCTTTAAGTCAGAAGGTAGTGTTGTTATGCACTGCTGCAGGCCTGCTTCTTACATGTATCTTCTCAATATATGTAGCAGAAAAAATAATACAGAACATCATTGCTTATGGTAGCATTCAGTGCTTACATTGGAAAAGTTCTCCCCTGGGTTCTTGCAGTGAAGATCTTCGTCTCCTATCTAACGAAAGTTGAGGTGATGATTTGACAATCAGAAAATTTAGGTTTCAGGTCCCTTTATCATACTAACATTAAAGATTATTACATTGCTAAAAGGCATTTTCCAACTGTTGCTGAGCCAGCCGGGCCCTGGGGAGAACGTTAACGTTCACTGTTAGAGCAGGCTGCGCTTTACTAAGAGGCTGTACAAACGGGGAAGTGTTCTGGGAAATCTTGAATTAAGAGCAGATAATGTGAGTGGAGATGCAAAGCAGAAGGATCATGTGCAGTGACTGCACAGAGTGAAGGTCAGCAAAGGAGCATATTTTCTGCAGATAGGAGAGAAAGCTACACAGCTTAGCTGTATAAGAAGTGGATTTTTTGTTTTGTGAAGAGTTTTCTGATTTGACAATGTTAATGTTCCAGAATAGAATGAAAACAAAAGCGTTTCCTGCATAAACAAAACAAAGCAACAACAAAAAAATCCAATCAAAATACTTCAATTCGATTAGAATAAAGATGTTTAATTCTGATTTAACTTTTTAACTTGTTTTATATTTTCCAGTCTAAATTAATAAAATCCTCTACCCTGTATGTTTTATTTAGAAAGGAAAACAGAAATATTCCCTTTTGATTAGGTTAAGATGTAGTATTTTGGCTATACTGAAATGCTTTTTTTGTAGTGTTCATTTGATAGTTAATTCTTTTCAAGGGCAATGCACTTCTATGAAGTGTTCTTCTTTCATTGAATTTGTATTTTCTAGTACAAAAGCAGTACCCACAAAATCAGTGGTGTTAGTGCTGCCAAAAACCTGATTATCTTGCATGTCTTTATAGCAGGTTTGCTACATTTCACTTCCCATTGTTTTGAATTCTACCTTAAATGAGGCGGGCAATGTGACATCTATCGTTACTTTTACATTGCTATTGGACAGGTTAATTGCGCTCTCAGCTAGGACTAGAGGTAGGCAGAGAATTTTCAGTGAGTAACTTACGATTTACAAGTTTGGATGGCAGTATTGGGTTGCACTTCTCAGGAGATGCAGTATTCTCTTCATCTGTTACGTACTCAAAGTTAATAATAAACATCATTGCTACTCCCTCTTGATTTTTCACTGGGATTATGTGGGTGTTGCAAATGAAGGTAGATCCTGCAGAGGGTGGAAAAAGAAGAATGTATAAATGAAAGGAAACTTGACTCTCTTTTTCATTCCAGTAATTCTAGTTATACCAACAGATATTGAAGAATATTTCTTTTTGTTTACTTATTGAACATTGAACACATTCTTTGCATTTTTCTCTATGAAAACATTCCTGTTTAAATGATCTTCCAATAATTAATTAGGTTATTACCTCTTCCAAAAGATCTCTCCTTTAAAATGCCAATTTTGCTTCCTGGTTTTTATGTATTGGAAGTACCTATACAGACAGACTCGCGATACAGAGGCATTTAACACCACAAGCAGCAATGCAAACACTGTTCCAACTACAATACTAGTGAAGATAGCAGAACATCAGTTCTCTAAATGTCAAATATTCTTTAGTTTTCGGTGCTATTACAACCAGATGAATCATTCATTAAATATTTATGGGTATAAATATATCGCTATTCTTATTTTAGCTCTCGTTCTTTTGGGGGCTGTATAATGTTGTTCTGGTTTACATTAAAGATATATTTGCTGTTAATCTGATCATACAGGGTTTTATACTCTGCTGCAAAATCTCTGTATTGATGTGGTAATAATTTATTATATACAAGTTGAAGCATGATGTTAAAAGCAGCCTAGTTTTCAGATGTGTGGAGCATACCCAGCTCAGCCTGAACTGAACAGAAGGTGTAATTTTTCAGCACCTCTGATACTCAGGGTGTTCTTGTTCAAATGCCTAATTAGACATTTAAAGAATGTGTTTTGTGTTCATTCTTCCGAAGTAACTCTTTTTTTAAAAGAAGCTTCATTTGATAAGGTCATTAGTTTTGATCTAATTCCCTCTTTTAAACTAGCAGAATATAGTGATTCTAAAAATAATGTGATTGCTGTAAGCGATAGGATGATAACGTGCTACAAGCTTCATGCAAACACAACTGTGAGATGGTGTCTTTCCATAATAACCGGGGACTAATGTAATGTACATCATCTGCAATTTATTCATTCAAATGCAGTAATCACTGAAACCTGACAGGCAGTACGATTTGACAAAAACAGATCCTGATCTGGGTTACACAGGAATACATTGTTATTTGCCATTGAGGAGAGACATGTAAAGATTTATATCATTATAACCAAGATCAGATTCTGCCTCCTCGTATTTAATGTAGTCCTTGCTATAATGTGATATACTTGGCAGTCTGAGCTATGTATAAAACTGGCGTGCTGGCCTTTCAGGTTTTGCAGCTGTACCTTCGATCCATTTAATAAAACAGTTAAGCTGTGGCACTTGCCACGGTTTCCATGGTAACTAGCGCAATGACTTTAGTAAACAGAAAATAAGCAATTGAAGACTGTTCCATTAGAGCTAAAAATAGAAGTGCTGCAGGCCAAGCGTTGCAACATACACTGGTTACACAGAAGGTCTGAAGGGAATCTAGAAATAATCTTTGTGTTTTCCTCTAATTAATCAAAATACAGGTTGACTTTAAACACTTGAAATAATATTTATTGATTCACTTGGAAAGAAAAATTTTGTTCCTTTCCATCTACTTGGGTTTTAAAAAATTTTCAGTAGATAGACTATATTTTGACATGCAGTTTTATCGGTTAAGCAAAAATCCCCCAACATGACACCTCTAACAGAAGCAAAGGGCTGGAGGTGGGCCTAGGCCGACGCGTGCACGGATCTGAGCAACTCTGAGCTCCAGTGGATCAAATGTTTATTAGTTTTTTTGCAAACATCGATGACAATGAGCCACAGATTTCTCTATGCGCTTGCTCGCGTTTTGCAGGCAAAGCTGTTTCGGCTTTTGACAGGCTTCGCACAGTGCTAAGTAATGACAATGTCTCCCATTTATGTGGAATGTTCCACCCTCAAGTGCTCCCAAACTTCATTTATACTAGAGCTAGGGGTTCACGTCTCCAGAGAGCTACCAAAGCTATTTAACAGTCCACAGCACAAGAACGTGGCAGAAAGTGCATAGAGTTCAAACTGAAGCTCTGTGTAGAAACATTTCGGGAATAAAGAATGAGAAAGATCCGTTTCTGGTATAGTTTAGCGTAGTTCCTTTGAAAACCAGTTGCACCAGCAGGATGAGTCCAGTAGAGTTCATTAGGCTGAAGTTTATCTAAGACTCCTGAGCTTTTAAGTGTTACAGAATATTTACTTTGTGCAGATGATAGGAATTGGAATTCTGCAACTTATCCAAAATATTGTGATGGGCATTATACTCTACTCTGCTGTTAGCTGTCTTTAGTACAGAAATTGTCTACTATATACTTACTAGTACCTCTCTCTGTTGGAATGGCAATAAGGACAAAACAAGGAAAACCTCGGTGCGTTTAGAATATAAGAGTTGTATATAAAGAAAGAAGACTAGCAAAATCAAAAGCTAAGCTTTGAGTAGTTAGAGCTGATGGTAATGCAGGAAGTATTAAGATTGTTTATAAACAATCTATTCTGTGTTTGCACTCTGTCATTCAATTACTCTTCATTGCACTCAGCATGTTTTCCCTGTTTTATCTCTCCTCTGAAATGCTCTGAGTAAGAAATGCTTCTGATGAGCAATACAAATTTTTATGAAGTTTCTGAAATTTGCATTTCTCATCTAAAGGCATGGAGCAAGGGGATGATATAATCAGAATAATTATGAAAATTATACCTTTATAATTAATAGATTCAATCTCTAGCAATATTTCTGGATTTTCTGAAGACTGCTGTTGATGAGTAATCATGAAATATACCTTTTGCTTTCTCTTGTTAGCATTACAATGAAGTGTAAGTGGAAAAGCTGGATATTCTCTTGTCAGCTTGAATTCCATAGTTATAAAGGGTTGCTTCCTTTTATCTACGGCATTCTAAAGCCCATTCTTTCATCCACTTAAATTAGTGGCAAGTATGTACACGTGAAGAAAAGGTTCTGCTTCTCTGTATGCTGTGTGGACATGAATCTGAAGTTACAGTTTCAACAATGTTTTCACAAGACCAGACAGACTGGTATGAACCAAATACCTGCCAAAATGTACACATCAGTGACCATAAGCATAATAAGGAACATGAATATAGTGGCATGTTCTAGTTGTGTTTGAGCAATTCTGGTGAAGCAAAACCTATTTAAAAAAAAAAATTGCTGAGTAGTATTTAAGGTTGACTTGCTTCACCATAGCAGTACAAAGCAGACACTTCAAACCCATTAATCTGGTTTGTAAATTCTGTTTGCTTTTCTGGTAACTTTCCATAAAAGGTTTTTGAGACAGATTTTTATCAGGATGCATCTTCTAGATGCAACTGCAATCATTTATTGAGTTAGGGTAGCTCCATTTATGAGAAAATAGAAAGAACAATACAATGATACAAAATTGAAGACCTTCTAAATTACAAGGGCCTCCATTCTCGCGTGAAAAACTGTGACAAGCACACACTGAAAAATGACACATCCCAAACACATTGATTCAGCCTTCGTGGGAACAATGTTTTCACACACCTTACCTATGCCTTGTTCAAAGAATCTCTGAAAAACGAGACTCCTGTTCGTTTAGGTAATAGTCCTAATTCTGCAGAACCCCCACGTTTCACACAGCCAGCACCCTTGAGAAATCTATCACAGTTCTGTAGGATGGTTGTGCATCCCTATTGCACTGAATGTGTCTGACAATTGCTAGCTGCGTTTCACTGTAAAAAAAATTTGGATCCCCTCCCCCTGGTACAGTATAAATTTGAGTTCTGCCTTCACTGGGTCCAAGACTGGTTCCAACATATTTTGGAACCAGTCATGGCTCCCTATGCCAGAGGCATTTATAACTCTTCAGATTTTTTTTTTTCTTGTTACTGGAGCTGCTGTGTGCAACTGACTCAACTTCTGTCTTTCCATAGCCTTAGTATGTGCTCTGTGTGCATATATATACACACACATGTGTATATATATACATACATATATATATATATATATACGTGTGTGTGTGTGTGTATATATATTATTTATACACAGATTGACCTTATACTAAAGTTTGTGTTAGGATTATGACACTTCTTTACTACTGCAACCTACAAAAAGTCCAATGTAGATATTGGTATTATCCATAACTCATTTAGAAGTGAAGAAAGAATAATCTAAAACAAGAACAAAGGGATGGGAGAGCCTGCTAGAGCAGGACCAAAGACAGTTGAAAATTAGAGGCAGTGATGCTGTACGTGTTTCTGGAACTAGGCAGTCTTGTTCTCTGAAGACAGATTTGAGTGAAACACATGAGTGAATGCAGGAAATGCTCATAAAAATTCTGTAATGTGGCTATTTAATGCTAATTAGTGACAAGAGAAGGAAGATGGGTATTTTTAGCATTTTTATTAAATGAATAGCATGTTTGTTTTTGGAAATAAATACCCTCCTGTTCCCCAGTATGATCTCGTATTTTGTTATCCAGATAAACGCTCAAAATGCCTTCTTTCAAAGAGCTCAAAACTTAGAACATAGAGTCTATACTTTACATTTTAGTTTAAGATCTTGAACTATCAATTAGAGTAGATATGCAACTGAACATATTTCATATTTAAACAGTATGCTAAATTTAGTCTTATCAACCTTTTACTGAAGAGGAGCACAGGAAAGTCTGTATAGTCCCCATTCAGGTTTTGGTAGTGAGATGTTCTTAGTAAGTGAGATTTATTGTTTAATAGGTTCATTTTTGAATAATCACTGAAATTATTATAGTATGATAACTCATATACTAAATATAAACTCAATATTCCTTTGATAATAAAGAATTGACTTCCATAAAAACAAACAACAGTGTGAGAAAACAAAACCAATGCCATTCTGTTATCCTGTGTACATATTTACAGCCTTATTTTTCTTTTTCTTGTACTGTAGCTGATGAGGGTTGCCCAAAGTTCCAAACAGTTACCTTTCTAACATGCTTTTTATAGTTTTTTTATATACTTTACATCTTCATTTTTCTAAAAAAAATTTTTAAACTTCTATTGGTTATAATGGATACTAATTCTT